TGTCTGGTGTCCAATAAATTACCAGGCACAAAGACACTTCAGCTCCAAAGGTAGCCCAGATATCCTTAGAAGAGCACCCCAAGGAGAAACAAGCTTGACCACTATTCAAGTCAGCCATGAAGAAGATAGACGACAACAATAGAAAAGTGTTTGTTGTGGACATAAGGCAAACAAGCAACAGATCAAAGAAGCTGTGAAGAAGACCCATGCCATTGATATGGCCAAGGTCAACACCTGATTTGGTCTCATAGAAAGTATATGTTAGACTGGCTCCCAACTATGTTGCTGTGGATATTGCCAAGAAAATGGAAATAATTTAAATAGAGTCCAGCTGGCTAATCCTAAATATAAAAATATTTCACTGTAAAAAAATATTATCAGGCATAATGAGAAAAATCAATATATGGACCCAGAAATGATAGATGATCAAATTAGTAGAAAAGGACATTTCTAAACAGTTATAACTATATTCTGTATAGTTAGATGGTAGAGGAAAGCATGAGCATATTAAGGAGAGGTATAGAAAATATAAAGAAAGGCTCAAACAAAACTTCCAGAGTAAAAATATGAGATCAAACCATACAAATGGGGATTAAGAGCATATCAGACACTGCAGAAGAATATATTACTGATCCTGAAGACAGGAATAGAAACTGTCTAAAATGAAAAACGGACACTTCCGGTCATGATGGCAGCATAGGTAACCAGGGCTTGCTTCCTCGTATAGTCACATCAAAATTACGACTAAAATATAGAACAACCGTCACTCAGAGCCTTCAGAAATAGAGTTGAATGGAAGTCTAACAACTACAGAATTGAAGAAAGCATATCCATCCAGACTGGTAGAAGAGACAGAGACAAGGAACAGGCTGGTCCCACATCCACATGTGGCAGATGAAAATTTGGGAGGGATATCTCAGAAGTAAGGAGTCCCAGCCACACACCAGGCCCCCCAGCTCAGGATTCTAGTGCCAGACAGATAAGTTCCCATCTGGCTTCTGGCTGCAAAACCAGCAGGGACTGAGTCAATGGAACAAACTTCTGGAGTCTCAAGCAGTTGCTATTAAAGATCCCACACACGGACTTAATCAGACTCACTCTCTGAGCTTCAGCCCAAGGATAGCAGCTTGAAAGACACCAGTAGCTACAGGGAGAAAGTGAAATGTCTGCAACCAAGAGAAGAGCTACTAGACAGCCTTCTCCCAGACAGAAAGATGGGCCATTGTCTCTTCTCTGAATCCTCCCCTTACAGAGTCAGAGAGCTGGAAGGCTGGTGCCATATCTGAGACTCCAACCTGGCTGATACTGTTGGTCCCTTCCCTGTAGATTCCCCAGGAACTCCATCCCACCTGACTTGTGGGCCCACCCAAGCGGCTTTTCCTTATGAATGGCTGGTCTGAGATCATGCTTCACAACTTCCTAAATCCTCTGAAACAAGCAAAGCCAGCCTCAGTGAGCTCCCAGCCCACATACCTATTGCTAAGGGGCCATGGGCCTGGCACTAGCACCAACCAGCCTAGATTCACAGCTTGGCTTCTCCTGGGAATGTGCAAGCCCAGTACAAGTAGTGGCCATCTCAGATTGCTTTATAGCTCAGGCAGGGTGGCCCCAGGCAAAAACACAGGTGGGGGGCTGACCTTGGCCTATACCTCCTGGGAAACCCAAGAGCCTGCACACCCAGTGGACAACTGCAGACCACATAAGAGCATCACAACCCTGAACCTGCACCTCAGATCCTCAATGGAGGGTGGAGGTTCATGGTCAGTGGTCACAGCCAGTCCTTGCAGCTGACTATACCGGGTAAATCCCTCCCATTGACCTGCGCACAGTAATCAAGCTTCAACTACAATAGGAGGGTATACTCAGGTCACAAGAAGGACATACCTCAAGTACCCAGCTTGGGTGATAGGGAACACTGTGCCACCAGACCCTATAGGACACCTACTACATTAGACCACACAAGATAGGAAGTCATAGCTGCTCCCCTAATTCACAGAAACAAACACAGGGAGGCTCTTAGAAAGAGGAGACAAAGAAACATGGCCCAAATGAAAGAACAGATAAAAAAAAAAAGAACTAAACAAAATGAAGATAAGCAATCTATCAGATACAGATTTCAAAACACTGGTTATAAGGATGCTCAAGGAACATAGTGAGGACCTCAAGAGCATAAAAAAGATCCAGTCAGAAATGAAGGATACACTAATTGAAATAGCAATTTACAGGAAAGCAAAGTAGAGTGCTGAAGCCAAGAATCAAATCAATGATTTGGAACATAAGGAAGCAAAAAAAAACAAAAAACAAAAAAACAAAAAACAAAAAAACCCACTCAGAACAAGAAGAAAAAAGTAAAAAAAAAAAAATGTGGATAGTGTAAGCAGCCTCTGGGACAATCAAGTGTTCTAACATTTGCATCATAGGGGTGCCAGAAGGAGAAGAGAAAGGGCAAGAAATGGGAACTCTTAATTGAAAAATTATTTTTAAAAAACTTCGCTAGTTTGGTGAAGGAAATACACATGCAAATCAAGGAAGTACAGAGTCCCAAACAAAATGGAAGCAAAAAGGCCCCCTCCAAGACACATCAAAACTTTAGCATAATCAAGGCACCTGCTAAAGGTTAAAGATAATGAGAGAATCTTAAAAGCAGTCAGCCTGAGAAAAGCAGTTACCTACAGGAAATTCCCATAAAACTGTCAGTTAATTTCTCAAAAGAAACTTCGCAGGCTAGAAGGGATTGGCAAGAAATATTCAAAGTCATGAAAAGCAGGGACCTACGGCCAAGATTGCTCTACCCAGCAAAGATATCATTTAGAACAATTTACATATGTAACAGGCACAAGGGAGGATGAAGGGAGGATGAAGATCTTCCCAGATGAGAAAAAAACTAAAGGAGTTCATCATCACCAAACCCATTATTATATGAAATATTAAAGGGAATTGTTTAAGAAAAAGAAGATCAAAACTCTGAACAATTAGTCCTGGACTTCCGCCAAGATGGAGGCGTAGGTGGAAACACCTTGCATCCTCGCACAACCAAATCTAAAAACAACAAAGTTTTAACAATAATAAACGCAACCAAACCACACAGAAAATTGACAACACGGAGTCCGAAAACAACGAAATGCTCAGCTAAACCGGTAAGAGGGGCGAAGCCAGCAGCAGAGCTGGTTGGCCAAAAAGATCCCCGACCCAGGTGGTGCACAAGCAGCCGAAGGCTCAGATCCCAGGTGCGGGCTAGCTACGGGCGAACACGGGGAAGAGGCGCGGCTGGCTGTCTGCGGTCGGTTGAGCATTTGCGTGCAGATAAACCAATGAAGAGGTGAGCATTGAGACCGCACAGTGCAGGGTGGCGGGCTCGCACATTTCTGCTCAGATAAACAGACGGGGGCAAGCGGTGGGACAGACTGGGCGAGTGGAGAGGGCCGCCATTGCTCCCTCTCTGACCCGCCCCCACATACAGCATCACAAACCAGCGAACTGGGTGGCCCTGCCCTGGTAAACAACTAAGACTCCGCTCCTCATATGTAACAGGCACAAACAGATAAAAACATGGCTCAAGAACAACTCAGAGCCCCAGAGCCGATAAATCTAAGTGATGAAGAAATAGCCAAACTTTCAGATGCACGGTTCAAAACACTGGTGATCAGGATGCTCACAGAACTGGTTGATTTTAGTCACAAATTAGAGGAACATATGAAGGCTAAACTAATTGAAATGAATGGTAATGCACAGGAAACCAATAGTAATGGAAAGGAAACTGGGACTCAAATCAAGAGAGTAGACCAGAAGGAAGGAAAAAATGACCAAACAGAAAAGAATGAAGAATTGTTTCTTCAATTCAAAAAAATGAGGAGAGGCTTAGGAACCTCCAGGACATCTTTAAACGTTCCAACATTCAAATTATAGGGGGAAGAGGAACAGCCATGAGTGGAAACCTTATTTGAACAAATAATAAAAGAGAACTTCCCCATTCTGGCAAAGGAAATAGACTTCCAGGAAATCCAGGAAGCTCAGAGTCCCAAAGAAGGTGGACCCAAGAAGGAACACACCAAGGCACATCATCATTACATTAGCCAAGATTAAAATGAAGGAGAGAATCCTAGAAGCAGCAAGAGATAAGGGGACAGTCACCTACAAAGGAGTTCCCATCAGACGTCAGTGGATTTCTCAAGAGACCTTACAGGCAAGAAGCGGCTGGAAAGAGGTATTCCAAGTCATGAAAACCAAAAACCTACATCCAAGATTGCTCTATCCAGCAAAGTTTTCATTTAGAATGGAAGGACAGATAAAGCGCTTCTCAGATAAGATCAAATTCAAGGAGTTTATCATCATCAAGCCCCTATTATATGAAATGTTAAAGGGACTTACCTAAGAAAAAAAAGATAAAAAAGATGAACAGTGAAAGGACAGCAAACTCACAGTTATTAAGAACCACACCTAAAACAAAAGCAAACTAAAAGGACAGCTAGATCAGGAGTGGAACCATAGAAATGGAGATCTCATGGAAGGTTAGCAACAGGGGAGTGGAAAGAGGAGAAGGGGGGAGAAGATACAGAGAATAAGTAGCAGAGACAGTAGGTAGAAAATAGACAGGGGGGAGGGCAAGAATAGTATGGGAAATATAGAATCTAAAGAACTTGAGACATTTGGACATAAACTAAAGGGGGGAATGGTAGGGGAGGGGTTTGCAGGGTGGAGGGGAATGAAGGGGGGAATAGGATAACTCTAATGGCAAAATCAATAAAATATATGTTTTTTAAAAAGACATGCAAATAGGTATTCACAGAATAGCCATGGGGATGTAAAGCACAGCATAGGAAATGAAGTAGCCAAAGGACTTATACACATGACCCAAAGATGTTAACAATGGTGTGGGGATTGCCTGAGGGAGTAGTGGGTGCTGGGTGGAGGGTTGGAGAGGGGGAAAAATTGTGACAACTGTAATACCATAATGAATAAAATATAATTTAAAAAAAAGAAAGAAACAAGACAAATCCCACTGTGCTGGTATATCAGTTTATTGCCTCAGCTCCAAATTCACCTTTCAGCCTGTTCTGTTTTAAAGGTGTTATTTTGTAACATCTCTCCTTTGTCATCTAGTGAGATGTTAATTAAGCTTTGTCAGCAGAGGGTGCTCAAGAGACCTTGGAGAGAGTAAGAGCCTTCCTTCCAATTCTAGTGCGCCTTGCTCTCAAAGTCCCCAAAGAGCACAATTTTTCTCCACTCCTTTGGCCCCTGAAGTTTCTCCTGTGCTAGGTCCCTACACGGCACAGCTTTCTTCAACATTTAGCTACTGCACCTCTTGTTTCATTGAGTCCTCAGTTCAGCCACAAACAGTGCAAACTAGAAGACAGTATATAGCAATATTTTGAAAGCACTGAAAGAAGAAACGGTCATTACCCAGCAAAAATACCTTTTAAAATGATAATACAATAAATACTACACATTCCTAATGTTCAAATGTCCCCAACGTCCAAAGAAATGTTCTTTATGGTTGATTTTTTTCTTCCAGTCTAGAATACAATCAAAGACCTTGCATTATGTTCTTATGTCCTTTTAATCTCTTTCAATTTAAAACAATCCCCAGCCTTTTTATTTTGGATGACATTGACATTTTCAAAGGTCAGGCTAGATTTTTTGTTTGTTTGTCTTATTTTTTCAGAATGGCGCTCAATTCTGATTTTGTCAGAGACAAAATTTTTTCATGGTTAGATTCCAGTAAAACCTTTTTGGCAAGAACACTACATCAGCAATATGTTCTTCTAAGTGCATCACATCAGGGCCCCTGATGTCCATTTATCCCAATTCTGGAGGCATTAAGTTTAATTACTTTGTTAAAGCTCCATTTGTAAAATGTCTGTAAGGTGCCTTTGAAATACCACTGTGGAGTGACGTTTTGAGACTATGCAGATATCTTCCTCCTCAATTGGCTTTCAACCATGATTTTAGTATCCATTGTTGGTTCTTGCCTTGAATATTCAATTTTGAAGAAACATGTAGGACAACAGTGCTTCCTTTTCAAGTTTTAAAGTGATAATTACTTTATAAGCATTTTTTCAAGTTGATGAGAACTGTAGTTTCCACTGGAGTCATCCTCTTTCCAGCACAGACATCCGAGAGAATTTACGCCGCAGGGAAGCCCAGCTCGCCTTCAGAGTGAAGCTGGAGCAGAGCAGTGGTCTGGAGCCCAATGTAGAGTAACATTATTAAGGCATCAACATTTAGCATGCTGTTGATAACCAGTGTGCCAGACTCCATGCCTGTGAGAGATTTCGTAATGTATAAAAAACGGCAAAACCCTTGGGAAAGTTTATTTTGTGTCTCTGTCTCCAGAATTCTATGATTAAAGCTTTTATTTCTCTTCAAAATATTCCCATATTTCTCCATATATCTTTAAGGATCATACTCCTAAAATTTTCTTCTTAAGAAAAGAGAGGTCCTTTCTGTTACCAGTGCCAATGGGCAGGAATATGGCAACTCATTTCAGAGGGAGGGGGATGATTTTAACCAGGTGATTGGGAAAAGGCAGTAATAACTAAAGAGTTGGGGGCACACGAAGACCTCAAGGTATGAATAAGCTCAGACCAGCTTCTTACCTGCTGAGCTTTAAGGTGTAAGTCCTGGGTCCCTCGTGGAAGAACCTTCCCTCCGTGTGCTGTGCCAGAGTGTCCATCGCACTCCTGCCTAGACTGACCCTGGACCAGGAGAGGTAGGTGCCTATGACCTCCTTTGGCAGCCTCTTTCCTGCCTCTTTGTAGGATACCAGCTTGTGTGTGGGTCAGTGTCATTCCCAGATCACAGGAAATCACCCTGGAAAATGGTCATTTTGTCTGAAGGCTTCCAGCTGCGTCTCTGCCCATCCTCCTGCCCGGTCCACCAGGAGCTCGCTTTGCTCACATTTCAACAGTGCACAGAGGAGCATTTGTCTTGATGGTCTCTGAGATCATCCTGGCACCAGATTCCCCAATGTGATTGCCCTGGAGACTAGACGAGAAGGGTTAGGAAAAATTGAAAACCTGGCTAAAGGGGTAGTAATGAGCAGATGGTCACTAAATAAAATGCAGATCTCTGTGCTTCCAGGACCCCTCCCACAGACAAGGCTCTGAATGGCTTTCTCTTACACCGAGTTTTACCCCAGAGTTGCTGAGGGGGCCCGGGAGTCGGCTGGCTTTGAGAATCAGACAGAAGGTAGGGCCTGACCTATGATTCCAAGGGTGAGCAAGAACCACGTGAAAGGCCAGAAACTGCCAGGCCCCACTCACTTGATATGCTGGATCCCGTGGTTTCCCGACAGTGCCGTGGCAATGCATATCACCCCATCCATCCCCAAGGAATTCTCTTGAAGACTAGGCAAAGAAAAGATGGAGACACCACAGTGAGCTATTCAGGACAGAAGAACACACCCCAGGAAGCAGTACTGCGTTTCTTGGGGGACCATTCTGGAGCTGATTTGTCCACAGGCGCCATGCCAACATCAAGGTGTCATTTAACCCTGAGATCAGTGTCTATAAGGAGCCAGTTTTCCCATCCAAGTGCCTTGGAGGATATAAGACAAAAATGCAGATGTTAAGTGATTTACCTTTGACTTAAACTAGGCAGAATGAACAAACCCATCCACAGTATAGACTATAGTGACCAGAGCAGTCAACTATTTCTATTCAGAAGGAAGCAGCTATGGAGAAAATCAAAAGCAGCTTATCCCATGGGGAAGGTTCCAGCAGAAAAGTCATCTGCCCTGGAGTACAGATAGGGCTCTACACCCACTCACTTGAGTATTTGGAGGCTTGAGTTGACCTTCAGAGCATTTGCCAGGGCTTTGGCTCCAGCTACCCCAATGGCATTTCCTCTCAAGCTATAAGAAAAGACAGGAAGTGCAAGGCACAGTGACGGCTGAGAGCCTTTTGAGATGGTACCTTTTCAGATGAATGTGGGCTACTGGTTAGAGGCAGCATGGACTCAGCAACTATGGGGGATTAGGTTGCTCCTTCCTTACTCCCAGGTGCAGAATCGGGTCCGGCCCTGGGGAGCCACGGGATACATGGGGGCCGGGGTGGGCTGGCCCAACCTGTAGTTTGTTGGAGATTTCATTCTCCTTTCCCAATCCCAAGACAGAAGGGGGCTGAGGAGAGGCAGCACTGCACCCAGCAGTCCTGTGTGCTCAGCATCCCAGAAATGCAGGAGCAGAGATGACATGGACATGCCGGAAAGCCCCAAAGAGCTTGAGGCCCAAACTTCTGGATCTTAAAGACCGAGATCGGTGGTCACAGACCACCCCAAGGAGCCCTTAAACAGGGCTATGGGACCGGTTCAGCCCGGACAAGACCAAGAAGAGCAGGTACTCAAGGAAAGGAGGGCCAACAACAGTGATTCCCCGGGAAAAGGGGTAAAGCAGGAATGGGGAAGCTGGGGCATGCTTGAGCTAAGTGAAGGGATTTAAATGATTTGCGAGTTTCATGTACATTGACCTTTTTTCTCCTCCATATCTATTCACTTTGAATCAACAGCTTGGCTTCTTTGGGTAAGAAACTGTAGCTGGAGGCTGAAATACTTACTCAAGAATCTCCAAGGTTCTGTTCACGGCTAGGGCCTCCCCCAGTGCCTGGGCCCCCAGCTCACCAATGGAGGCTACTTGGAGACTGTAAGAGGAAATGCTGTCAATGCACAGGCCAGACAGGCCAGGCCTCTCCCGCCCTCATACCTGCCCTGGATCCAGCTCTCAGTCATAGTCGCCCTTCATTTTCATCACCCTTGACTTAGAGCTCAAAGTGATGAAATAGCACTGAAAATTGCTGGCCTGTGATCTGTGCAAAGGATGCCGCATCTTCTACCTACACTGTCTGCTGCCTAGGACATATCTAGATACTACAGATATAGGAAGTACAGGTAGTCTCCTGGAGAGTTTGGAGGGGAACACTTCTTGTATCCCCACATCTTACTTGTTAGAACTGCAGGAGCAGAGATGATCTGGACATCCCTTTTTCTGCCTGGTTGCTACTATTAGGAAAATCAAACACACTTTCCTTGACTGGGAAACAATAATGGATTTTCCGTATGAAAGGATGGCGACAGGCCGGCTTCCTGGGCTGCCACGCATGTCAGGACTTACTAGAGAGCAGTGAGGGCTGTGTTTGCCTTCAGTGCATCGGCCATTGCACAGGCGCCTTCATCCCCAATGGCGTTTTCCTGTAAACTGAACACAGAGAGTGACCCCTGAGCACGCAGGGCACAGGGCCAGCTCTCCAGCATAACATGCTGAGCTTGGACCTTCCATGTAATTCAGACCACACACACCATAGACGATACACACTGGGTCACCCTGTGTGGCCACTGCAGCCCCATGGCCTCCTAATTAACATGCAGATGGGTCTGGGATCTGCAAACATCTGGACCAACGGAGGCAAACAAGAAAAAGGAACACATGCAAGTAATGTCAACAAGGGCTCAGGACGAAAAAGGGTATGCTTTCCAAAGACAACTAGAAAATTAAAAGCCCCTATCCCTGGGCTATTCTAACTAGTGGCACTAATAATTTAATGGACATTTGAGTGTGTATTGTGTGCAAGGCCAATTCTGCCTTCATGGAACTCGGCTGGGGGGACATAATTAGAGGAGCTGTCACCATAGGCGAAGTGACGGTTTCAGTGAGGTCCCAGAAGCTGCCCCCAGAAATAGGTCTAAACCAAAACCTGAAGAATAAGAATTGGGGGAAAGGAACTGGCACATCTAAGGAACCTGAAGAAATTGAGTCAAGTCTCTGGAGTGTGGCAAGAGGCTGAGGAGGCATAAAGGAAGCAGATGTTTGGGGTCCCTAGAAGCCATGCTAAAGGTCGGACTCTACTTGGCAGGCACTGGGCCACCACTGAAACATCTCACCAGCGCAGGGACGGATTTGTGTTTTGGACAGATCTTGGCCAGCAGAGGATGGGCTGGCTGTGGAGGCTGCTGCAGTGATGCAGGTGGGTGATGCTGGTGGCCTGGACAGTGGCTGTGAGGGTGGGACATTGGGAGGAGAAGCAACAGGACTTGGAAATGAAAAGAGTGAGGATAATGTTTCTACTTTTCACAGTTGGTTGGCTGGTTCTGTTCCTATAATGGGGAAGCAAGAGCAGGCTTGTGGGGGAAATCGTTTGGGCAATTTGAAGTACCGGTGAGGCTCCCAGGGGGAGGTATGGACTGAGCAGTGGGCACCTGGGTCTGGAGCTCAGGAGAGAAGTTTGGGATATGGATGTGGGGCCATCAGGACTTTAAAGCCTGTGAGAGCTGCCGGAAGAGATGCCATTCAAGGGAAGTTGGCCTGGGACAGAACCCTGAGGAGCACCAGTATTTCAGAATCAAACAACTAGCCAGAGACGGGACATCCTGGAAACTGAGAGAGAAGCAGTCGGCATCAAAAGCAGATGAGACTCAAAAGGTTAAACAGAGTTGCCATTTGAACTGGCAATTCCATTCCCAGCTGTATACAAAAGAGAACTGAAAGCATAGGTTCAGTTCTGAAGACCGAAAGCACGGAAACTTGAATATGGACGTTCACAGCAGCATTATTTGTAATAACCGAAAAGTGGAAACAATGCAAAGGTCCAACAACAGATGAAGGATAAGCTGAGTGTGGTCTTATCCATACCGTGGTGCATTACTCAGTCATAAAAAGGGATGAAGTAGCAACACGTGCCACAATGTGGATGAACCTTGAAAACATATTAAATGAAAGTTGCCAGTCAAAAAAGACCACATATGGTATGATTTCACTTATATGAAATGCCAAGGAAGTAAATCCATAGAGAAAGTAAATCTGTGGTTGCTGGGGACGGGGAGGCTGGGGAGTGACTGCTAGTAGGTATGGGCTTTCTCAGGGGGTGATAGGAATGTTCTGAATTTGACTGTAGTGATGCTTACATGACTGTGAATATACTAGAAGCCAGTGAATTATACACCTTAAATGTATAGATTGTTTCTCAATAAAGCCGTTATTTTTTTTAAAGCAGATGAGGTTGGAAACATGCCTGCTGGCCTTAGGGCAGAGGAGGCTGTGTGCCGAGCGCACGTGCCCCGCACCTGGCAGGCACTGCGGTTTCAGATTCCCCTGCTCCTGTGGCCTCCGTGGAGGCCCCACTTACTCAAGGCTGATCAGGCTCCTGTTGAACTGTAGTGCTTGTCCCAGGGCCTTGGCGGCGCTGGCCTGGATGAAGTTCCACTGCAGGCTAGGCAGACACGAACCACAGGATTAGGTGGCCCAAGGCAGCCCAGGAAGTCCTGCGGCTCCAGAAAGAGGGGTCTCCTCCCAGGAGAGTCTGACACCAGAGGATGGAGTCCTTGCAGGGTGGGTTCTATGGGGACCACTGATGGGCAGAACTCCCGTGACCCTCCTCAGCCTTAGGCCCAGGGAGTCATCGTTTACTCTCTGGTTAGTGGTGAGCACAGGGACAGCCTTGAATAAAGACTCCTGGTGGCCCCTGCATTAAGCATGCGACACAGAGGCACAGCCATGAGTACCTAGCTCCCACCACTGGCCTCTCCATGGATCAACCTCAGGAAGCAGATCAGAGTTCAGGGCTGGTGGCCTCTGCCAGTGACCTGCTGGAGGCCCCAGAGGCCATGTGGGGGGTATCCAGAGCTGGACTTGGCCTCCTGCATCAGCTGGTCTGGGTGCTTCAGCTCTGTGCAGGGGGTGGGGGTGGGCACTGAGGACTCACTGAAGGGACGTGAGGGTGTGGTTTTCTCTCACTGCCACCGCGATGGCCTGGGCACCCTCGTCGTGAAGGAGGTTGGCTGTCAGGCTGGGAGGAGGAGAATGAGGGCAAGTGAGCAAAAGCTGACCATGATGTCCCCTGTCCTTGCTCTCCAGGGAATCCACACTGCTCTCCTCCAACCCAAGGGCTGCACTGGCTCCACTGGATAGCCTAGCTCACGCTTATGGAGTGCTTGCATGTGCCAGGCACATGACCTGGGCTGTTGTGACAAATTCTGACAACCCCATGGGGAGTGGGCCCAGGCTTGGCTCAGTGAGGTCCCAGGACTCATCACCCACCAGGAGATGGCAGAGGCACCAGGGACTCGCTCCTGATCCTTGTACTGTGTTGCCCTCGTGACGGTGCCACTTCCACAGGCTTGTCCATCACCATGGGACAAGGGGGTGGGCAGAGAGTCACCACTAACTACATCCTCAGGTAATGTATGACGTGAGACCGGGAGACTCGTGTCAGGGTTGCCACCAGGGACCAAGTCTCCTGGCTGCCTTCTCTCCACCAGGTCCTTCTTCAGCCTTTCACGGTGGCAACGGTGATGAGGGCCTGGCCCATCGGTCCCTATGCTCTGCGTGGTTGAGGCCCTGGCATAAAGGAGTCTGGAGAAAAACAACCTGCCCCCCAACTCACGTACTCCAGGTTCTTCAGGGTGCTGTTGGTGCAGAGTGCTCGAGCCAGATCCTGGGCTCCCTTTGAGCTGATGGAGTTTTCTCGCAGGCTGAGGAAAGAGAAGACCCTGAGCTGCTGACCAGGCAGATGAGGCCTCTGGGGAAGACAAGCCCAGGTGTTCAGGCTTTTAGAACCAGAGAAACCTCGAGTGGAGCCTGGCCTTTCTGAGCACCTATCTGGGTGCACCGTGTGCCTCCAGCAAGCCCAGGTTCTGGTGGCTAGGCAGCCAAGTGTCTCCCTTTAGGACTGTCGACAGTTGAAAGAGGACAAGACGATGGGACCTCAGAACTGTGAGGGGCAATCTTGTATGCTTGGGCACCTAAAGAACTTGTGGACAAGCAGGAAGCAGCAGAATTGGCCAGCTGAAGGTCACAGCTGCCCCTACCCTCCCCCAAACAGGAAGAGGGCATGAGGTCAGCTCCAGAATCAAGCTGCTTAACCATAGGTCTTCACCAAAACCAGCCCACAGGAGTAGGTGTGGGCTTCCAAGTGCTAGCCTTTCTTTCCAAGTCCCAAAATTCCTTGAGACCCCCGGCCAAAGGAATACCTGGTTGGAGAGGAAGGCTGGGACTTACGTGAGGCTGAGGAGGGTTTGGTTGGCGCAGAGGGCCCCCATCAGCGCTGCCACTCCTGTGTCACTGATGGAATTACTCTGCAGGCTGCATACAGGAGAGAAGGCATGTTTGGTGCGGGTGTCCAAGGACCCAGAGGGGGCCATCAGTCCAGCTGAAGCACCGAGTTCAGCAGGGACTTGGGGGATCCCTGAGGCAGGTGCCACTGCACGTTGCTCTTTTCATCAGCCCTCTCTCCTCCCCCATCCTCCACATTCCAGCCCCTGCTAGGTCAGGATAGGTGGGCCTAGTACCAGAGTTCAGACACTGTCTTGGTTTGGGTGCCTCCAAACAGCCCCTGAAAGGGTCTCATGTGCTGTGTCTGCAGCTCATAGAGAAAGTGGCACAGTTGGGTCTCCCCAGTATGGGGCAGTGCCAAGCTCCCCAACCCCACACCAAGGCCACTGCAGCTGGCTCATTTTTTAGCTACCTGCACCAACTTCTAAAGCGTTCTTGGTGGTGGTTGTCATTCTCAAAACTCCAGAGCCAACACCAGCCCCTACAGTCCTAGGAAACAGAGCCGGTGTGGTGGGATGGAAGAGGCAGGATAGATCACAGTATGCCCAGAGTTGGTGGTTGGTTGAATTCTCGCAGGGAAATAGCCTTGACCGACAGCCCTCCTCTGGGACCCACCCATCTACTGGATGGAGAACTTGAGTAGGACAGGGGGAATTGCCCTGGCCCACAGCCACCCCTGGAGGGTGGTCAGGCAGACTCACTCCAGGCTCTCCAGGCCCTGGTTCACCTTCAGAGCTTCAGCCAGGGCCTTGGCACCTTTATTACCAATGCTGTTACTGGAGAACCTACAAGAGATGGACACACACTGGTAAGCCAGCCTTCTGCAGCAGCTGGACAGGGCAAGGCCTGGAAATCAGGGTCTAGGGGAGGGCTGTCTCTGTTATCCCAAGGGTGCCAGTACACAGTTTCTCCTACTTGGGACTGGTGGGCCAGAGGCCTCTGTAAGTAACCTCCTGCCTTCTTTAAGAGATCAAGTTAGCAAAGTCGTTCTTGGCTCCCTGGCAGGCAGTAGCGGGAAGGGGACAGGACCGACCATTTAATGGGAGGTATTGTGATACTTTATGTGAAGGTGGCTAGGAAATGCCACTTTCTTCTGCCAGCTGAGAAAGCAGCAAATGTGAGCCTGAGATAGTTGTAGCTCACTCAGTCCTGGGAATCTGGGTCTCCATTCTTTCGATCCAGTGCTTTGGAGTTCAAAGCCAGGTGTCCTGCACCAATACCTTCATCCATCCATCTACTCACATACTCATCCACTGAACTGTCCACCCATTTATCCACTCATCTACTAGTCTATGCATCCATCCATCCATCCATCCATCCATCCATCCGCATGCTCACAAATATTTATGATGGGCCGGGCATTGTGTCAGTCACTGAGGATACAAATTTGGCCCTTCTGCACTTCTCACATGAGCTTCTTCAGACTCCTGTTCTGTTTCAGGGCATCTGCCATCTTCTGGGCTCCCATAGGCCCAATGGTGTTCTTCTGTAGGCTGTGAGAGACGAGAGGGGTCCTTCAGCAAAGGTGGTCACAGCCATGCACAGGCCAAGCACACTCCAATTCAAGGTGAGAGGTTAGAGACTACTGAATGCTGAGTGCCATCTGCATGCATCACAGCATAGCGGGAGGGGTCTCCGGGAAAGGTCTGCCCATTGTTGCTAAGTGATGCCAAGAGACCAACATTATATGGAGAATAAGACACAAGGGCAGCCAGGCTCTTGCTTGTCAGAAACTGGGAAGCAGAGACAACAGACACTGATGATATCTAGCAACCTCCTGAGTGGGGACTTCCACATACAAGCACCATTGGCCCCTTACCCGATCAACCTTCTCAACACTCAACAGTCCACCTCCATGTCCAGCAGCAAGTCTCCCAACCCTACAGTCTTCCCTAGGGCAGGTGCTCCTCTACTTAGGTTCCTCTCCTCCAAAAGCTACTTCCTCTTATACTAAATCTGGAGGAGGGGATGCTACAGAAGAACCCTGTGCTCATCCTAGAAGGGCAGGCAGGGCAGGGCCTCTTCTGTGTGAGGATAAGCACAATTGAAGCAAAAGGGAATTTCCCTGGTTCCAAAAGAGAAAGAGATATCCTTCCCCCTTTTCTTAGTGCATTTCCTAGTTGCCATTGTGAATCCTTTCCCCGTCCTTTTGAGAAGTGTGTAAATATTTTTAAAAGCTAAATAAAAACCTCTTGCCAAGGTTTACAGACTTGAAATGTCTTTTGTGAGGGCCTTAGAGCCATCTCTTTGAAAAGTACACATCAAAGAAGATAGTACAGGCTCCAGGTTGTAAGTGCCTTCTTGTCATGAAGATGTGAGGTCTTAACTTTCCTTAAAAGTTAAGGCTAAAGGCCATTAACAAACACCCCAAGAACAAGGCTAATTTAGGATGAACTCTGTGTGACAAACAGTGCTGTCCAGTCCTCCTATGTGAGGACAAGTTGTTGTTTGTCTTGGAAACATATGCATTGTGCTTGCTATGGGAAAGGGCTTGATTTCTTTCTGTCCTTGCAATCTCCTCAGTGGCTTGTATATGATGTGCATACAGTCTCGCTGACTGCTTATTCAAATAATAAAGCTGTTTTGTTCTTTCTCACATTTGCGGAGAGGATTTTCTGGATTTGTAGGAGGGTTTATTTTTAATTTTTTGCCCAACAGCTGTCCTCTGGAAAAGCAGTGGACATCAAGTTCTCTAGGGCCATCCAGACAAGTCAGAAAGCCTCGGGACCTTGCCCCATTCATCCCTCCTCGTAGAACATAGGCAGAGAGGCCTTTGGAGGAAGAGACGGTGAACACCAAAGAGGCTCTCTAACGGCCAGTATGTCTACTCACTGTATCACAGAAAGGGTCCGGTTGGCTGCCAGGGCCTCAGCCATGGACCTGGCACCATCATCCTTGATCATGTTGCTCTGAAGGCTGTGAAGGCAAGGAAGAGGCACACCCTGATGGAGCACACCAGGGCACCCAATGGTGGCCTGAACCACCACTGCAGTGTCACCAATGCCCACGGAGGGGCAGCAGCTGACCCCAGTGAAAGGGGACATTGGCCACTAGAGGCCCTCAATGCCCACCACAAAGCCACTGGGGAACAACTGGCCCTTCCCTCTGCTTCTCTGCCTTGGGTTTCCTTCTGGGTCTCTAAGCACTTGCCTGTTGACTGAGGTCAAGGTGCTTATGACATCTAGATGACAGAAGCTAGGTCATCTATAATCCTAATTACAGCTGAAAGTCACAGCACCCAAGCATTGGTGAGGATGTAGAGAAATCGGAACCCCATACACTGCTGGTGGGAGTGTAAAATGGGCGGCTGCTGCCAAAAACAGACCAGCGGTTCCTCAAAAGGTGAAACAGAGTTACCATGTGGCCAGCAAATTCCACTCCTAGATGTTTACCCGAAAGAATTGGAAGCAGGTACTCAAATACTGCACACAAATACACACAGCAACATTATTCCCATTACCAAAAAGTGAAAACAACCCAAATGTCCATTAACTGACGAATGGAATACTATTCAGCCATAAAATGGAATGAACTACTGATACATGCAAACATGTGGATTAACCTTTAAAATATATTTAGTGAAAGAAGACACAAAAGGTCTTATTGTATGCTTCCATTTATAAGAAATATTCAAAATAGGCAAATCCATTGAGCAGAAAGCAGATTGGTAGTTGCTGAAGGGAGGGGGGAATGGGAAGTGACTGCTGATGGGTAAAGGGTCTCCTTTTAGGATGCTGAAAATATTTTGGAACTAGATAGAGTTGATAGTAGCGTAATTGTGGATGTATTATGTGCCATCGAACTGCACACTTCAAAATGGTGAATTTTGTGTGAATTTCATTTCAATATAACTAAACAAAGGAAAGCAAACTAAAACAAATGGTGGTAACATTCAACTAAGGGTGGATACAACCACTGGCCCCTAAAAGAAGCACAGAAAACCACACCAAACCATAAGGATCTTCAGGAGGATGGGTTTTCAGTGTCTTGGAAAAACACCTCAGGGGAACATTCTGACACCACGGTCTTGGGGAATTCCTCAGAGATCATTTTGCCCCTCCACCTCTATGCCCCTCTACCCACCCTTTTCTCCTCTGTCCCCTGCTCAGGCTATAAACACAGGCACAATAACCTGGGGGGAGCTGGAACCTGGGCACTTGCTTGGGTTACATGATCCTGTGGTTTCCACTGAGTGGGAGCTGGTATCTCATGGCCACAGTTTGAATCGCCCCCCACCCCATGGGTGGCACATGAGGAGGTTTTCTGGCCCCTCTCCACGAGAGAGCAGTTGACACGTACCTTAGAAAGACCAGAGTGCGGTTAATCTTCAGAGCATCGGCCAGTGCCTTGGCCCCTTGAGGTCCGATGGTGTTACTACGGAGGCTGGAGGAAGGAAGAGAAAGAACCATTCTCTCTTATCTAGTTCCCAGGGAGGAACAGAAGTTACACTGACCTATGCTTCTTGAACAAAATATATCAGGGTTTGGAATTTCATATATAATGGAAGTGGGGTAGAGATTTTTATGTAGGCAAACAAGGACGGAGTTTCTGAAGGTGACCCCATGTGATGGGGTGAAGAAAATAGTATCTAATGGACCAGTGCACTTCGGCCAAGTATGAAAAGGGGAATGATAACACCTGGTTCAGAGCTAATATTCTGGTGCTTCCTGGGCCAGTCTGAATAGTTGAGCAGGAGCCATACTTTGTTTGCTCAGCTATTCTTCCCACCCACTCAGGGGAGAGTATGGTCAAGGGAACTGTACAGGATGCCTCACAAGTACTCCCTGTACCAAGAGTGAAAGATTGGCCTCTGGTGTTGTACTTACTCTAAAGTAGTCAGACTTCTGTTAACAAGAAGGGATCTGGCCAGAGCTTTGGCCCCTTTGTTACTGATCTGGTTCTCAGCCAAGCTGCCCAAGGGGAAGAAAAGGAGTGGTTATTTTAAGTCTATAAATCTCATTGTCTTCTTCAACTCCAGGCTCATGATCCAGAACCCTCAGTCTCACCAGAACCATCAAGGCCTGGACAAGGTGGAGATCAAAGTGGAACAAAATGCCAGGCCCAGGAAAGCCTCTGAGCCAGGCCAGGTAGGACCAGAGTGGGCAGATCAACGTGTATGCTGGCAAAGGGTTCTGGGGAAGTTTGGCCAGAATCCAGCACAACAGCTGCTACATATCACAGGAAAGAGGGCAGACAGTTACGGAAGTCTACCAATGGGCCCCAGCCAGTGCTGTGCCAGAAAACTGGTTCTCAGGAGAAAGCAAAATACAAAAACCATGATTTGTAACATTGGCCAATTTTTGTGGTGTAAATAATTCCACGACAGCCAGTTTCGGGCACTCACAGCTTGCAAAACTTCCTGGAAATTTAACAATCAGCCCTCAGGCCCTGGCTGAGGAGCTTAGTTGGTTACAGCATCATCCCATATGCCAAGGTTAAGGGTTTGGTCCCCAGTTGGCACATATAAGAATCAACCAATGAATGCATAAATAAGTGGAATAACAAATCAATCTCTCTCTCCCCACCCCACTCTTTCCCTCTCCTTCTTCGTCCTCTCCTCTCACTCTAAAATCAACAGATTAATTTTTTTTAAATCATCTCTCATATACTCATAGTTCCAGCACACCATAGGTGCCAGCCCTTTGTCCTAATGCAAGAAAGGAAAATGGTAGAGTTTTTACAGAACTAACTTTAAGGTTTAAAAAAAGTACATCTGACTCTGGCTGGTGTGGCTCAATGGATTGAGCTCTGGCCTGGGAAGCAAACGGTCAGTTTCCATTCCCAGTCAGGGCACATGGATGGGTTGCGGGCCAGGTCCCCAGTAGGGGGCGCACGAGAAGCAACCACACATTGATGTTTCTCTCCCTCTCCTTCCCTTCCCCTCTGTCTAAAAATAAATAAATAAAATCATTTTTAAAAATAAAAAAGTACATCTGTATCTGCCTTGAAAGGGCAATTCCAAAAATATGCCAATAGATCAACCTAATGTTGCTTCATGTACCCAATTTCAGAAGTGGTAGCTGATGAAGTTTAATGTTTCTCAGACATTTAAAATGGTGGGGAAGCACCATGGGATACAATTAGATTATCCAGTGCTTTCAAGCGATGTTTCAAGGGCCCCTAATGTTCCACAGAAAAGTTTCAGGAGCCACCAGGAGTCTGAGAGGGAGCCAAGTGCTGGACTCTCAGCCCTCATCTCTTCTTCTTTCAATTTCGTCAGCTTCTTCCTCTTTTGTCTATTTGATTTATTGGGATACTGCTTGATATGTCACTTAGAAAAAAGGATTCTGCTGCTTTAAAAACATGTGAAGACTATCCAGAATAGTCTACATAAATATCCCCAGGTTCTAGAGAACCTCTGCCCACCTTCCTCACCCCAAGATTTTTCTACTATTTTACGAGTAATATTTCATGAGCCTTGACTGTGTTTTGTAAAGGATCCCTTGGGCATTTCAAATAGGAATGTGGTACTGAGGACCAGCTACAGAGAGGTAAAGAAAAGCATGTGGCCATAGAGGAAATGTGAAGCTTTGTTCAGAAAAATTTCTGAGCACTATCTAGACTCCTTTAAGCCAAACACTGAAAGCTCATTATTTTGCTGATGGCTCCCATGAAGGGAAAAACATTAATAATGAGATGTCATTATCATGTTTCCTTCAAAGAAATTGCATTTCTACCTCTGGTTAGTAAGATGACAGTCCTGCCAGTACATTTGGTCCTTATACAGTGCCTGTCCTGTCTGAAGCACTTTTCTCAATTAACTTGTTGGAGCTTCCCAACGACTCCAGGAGGCAGTGTTCTGCAAAGGATTAACCTTGACCAACACCCCTCCTGAGAGGTGGCCCCTCTAAGCCCTTGGAATGTCCTGCCTGATAAGAATATCTCTGCTTATCTGGGGGCTTAGGTTTTGTTCAATAGCTTGTGTCACAATTTCTGTTGGGAATCTTGGGCCATGCAGTGTCAGCTTGACTTCAGGAAGAGCTGGAGAATAAGGTCAGCCTGTGGGAGGTCAGGTACGTCTTCATGACCAACCCCAACAGAAACTCTGGGCACCGAGACTTGGATGAGCTTCCCTGGTCGGAATGTTTCAGATGTGTTGTCACAAGACATTGCTACAATTCCGCTGGGAGGGGACAGCTGGAAGCTCATGCTTGGTCTCTCTGGGACCCTGCCCCATTCACCATTTCCTTCACAGACTTTAGTCTGTACCCTTTCTGTGTAATGAGCCACAACTGTGGACATGACAGATTTTCTGAGTCTTCTGAATCCTTCTAGTGAATCACTGAACCCAACATGGGTCATGGGGACCCCAGAACTCACAGGTAATAACCTTGTGACCCCATCCTTACCATCCTTAGGCACAGAGGTGTTTGTACAAGGTCATGTGGAGCCTGCCAATCTAACCACTATCCTCAGTGGTTGCTTTGTTCTTGATTCATTCTACATTTTTTTCTCACATAAAGATTATTTCAGAACCCAAAACCTTGTGTAAGGATGAAAAATTACTCTCTGGGCCCTGTCCTCTAAGCTCACTTCCCTAATTCTCCAGAAGTGCCCTGGCCCCCACCCCTGCCCAGGTCCTGGTATCACTTCAACTACGAACAGGGGTGTTTCTCAGACTTGGAAATTATTACAAGGAGATTTCATAACCTCTTCTGATCAGTATATAAACGTCAATCTAATTACATTACAGACGCAGTGTTTAAATTTAAAATTTTTTCATTAAAATTTTTAAAAGAAAATGCAATTTTTTAAAAAGATATGGTCCTGTCCCCGGAACACTATTTGAGGGCAAACTTTAAGAAAATTGGGCCTGGTACCATGTCAGCACATACAGTGTTTGGAGAAAATCTTCCATTGTCCACAATAGCCTCTGATCCTCACTATATCCTTCCTTTCTTCCTACAGATGAGTACCTGAGCCTCTGGAACTTTCTGGACTTGGTGGAAACAAGCAGCTTGCATCCTGAGACTTATGTTTTAAAGACGCCTCTCCTTGAAGTACCACGTAGCCACTTGAGCAGAAAGGAGGCTGGGAAAGGGGCCCTCAGACCCTGAGAGACGGAGGTGGGTGGGGGGAGTGCCCTGGGAGGAGTCTCCTGGGTCAGCGTTACCTGATCTTCTGAATACGACAGTCATTTCCACTCAACACACTGCCCAGCAGCTCCATCACAGGGTCCTGGAACTGGTTGGTGTCCAGCCTGATCAGGACAAACAGCAATAGTGAGTGCTTCCTGCCGCCCCCCCCCTCCCGGCAACCCCCGACACAGGCAGGTTGAATGAGGTCCCTGGCTGGCATCAGGGCAGCAAGAGAGGGTGCTAAGCTCAGACACCCAGGCTGGGATCCTCTCCCTCTTTCTTCTCTCGATCCCAATGTAGATCCTACCATATGGCCCTGAGATCTCGGACAGCACACCCACCATGCTCACAGCATTTTCCTACAAAGGTGAACCGGAAGGCTCAACGGCATAAACCCTAGGGTTCCTATCCTGAGGGCTGTCTTCCCAGCAACCCTGAACATTGTGTGCATCTGTGGGACACTTGCTACTATTTTTACTTCTGAGGACATGGAAGCTGCTCTCAGGTCCTGAAAGGCCCTGGTGCCTTCCTCTCGCCCCCTCCTAAGATCAGAGCAGTGGACAGAGGATAGGCTGAGAGTGAGTGGGTGTGGCTTCTGTCAGCATCGGAATGGTTCACCTGGTGTTGTGGATTGAATTGTGTCCCCACAAAGACGTGCTGGCGTTCTAACCTCCCAGTGACTCAATAGTACTGCCTGATTTGGAAATGGGGCAGTTGCAGATGTAATTAGATAAGATGAGGTCACACTGGAGGGAGGCGGGACTGTCATCCCATGTGACTGGTGTCCTTACAAGCAAGGAAAGTTCTGTGTGAAGACAGACATGGAGAAGGTGGTCATGTAACCATGGAGGAAGAGATTGGAGTGGTGCAATTATAAGCCAAGGACTGCCAGCAAACACCGCAAACCAAAGAGGCAGGAAGGATGCTCTCCTACAGGTGTCAGAGGGAGCACAGCTCTGTCAATACCTTAATTTTGGACTCTTGCCTCCAGAATTGTGAGAGAATACATTTCTATTGTTTAAGCCACCCAGTTTGCGGTCCTTGGTTACACAGCCCTAAGACACTGATACGGAGGGTCATGGTGGAAGGGAAGCACTTTCCTGGTCCTCTACTCTCTCCTCTGCCAACACACCCTGCACACCCCAACCCGGCACTCACCTCAGGCTCTGGCAGTAGAGCAGCTGGGGCAACAGGCTCTGGAGGACACCCTGGCTGAGGCACAGGGGCAGGTTGGCCTCCTGAGTGCAGGCATCTGTCACCTGCAGAAGGTAGGCCAGGGCAGCTCGGTGTTGGGGGCCGGTCAGCCTGGCCAGGCCCCCGCTCTCCATGGCCTCCTCCACACTGCGGGCCAGCTCTGTGTGCTGCAGCTCATGCAGGCAGTGCAGGACATTGACTGCCCGGGCACAGACTACCCTGTTGGGGTGTAGGCAGTCCTGAAGGATCTGGGCCACCTGCATCCGGGAGCCCTGGTGCTCGCCCGGGGCCAGCAGGGAGCCTGCCAACAGGGCATTGACCCTTGGAGACAAGAGGCCGGAGAGGAAGCGAAGGAACACATCCAGTCGTCCATCCTCAGCCTGCATTGCCCGCTGGGCCGCGCTCCTGAAATGTGTGAGGAACCCCAGCCGAGGCCAGGACACTCCACCCTCAGTGAAGAGGTCGAAGATGGCCCTCTTGGATGCGCTGTAGTAATACGCTGCCCCCACAAACTCCTGCAGGGACAAGTGGGTGAAGCAGTAGGCTGCTGAGGAGGCCAGGGTCTCCTCCCGCTGCAGAAAGTAGCTGCACAGAGTGCTCTGCAGCAGAGCAAGGTCCACTCCAAATGCCTTCAGGTCTGGCTCGTAGAACACGTACTTCTTCTTCACAAGCCCATGGAAGGCCATCCGGCCCAGTGTCCCCACCATCTTACGGCCACTGTGGGCCAGCTGCTCAATGCGAGGGCTCATCTTGCCCTTCTCCTGCCCCTCCCCATTGAGGGCCATCCTGAAGTACCAAGAGTAGAGTTCACACAGCGTCCTTGGAGGCCACAGCTCTGTGTCCTGGGGTCCCCACCTATGGCGGCATAAGTGGCCCAGTGTTAACCCTGCAAGTCGGCAGAAGGCTGGGATGGTGCACATCAGGTACAGGGCCCTGTTGGCCCACACCTGGCTCAGGACCCAGTCCAAGAGTACCTGGTCCTCAGGGAACATCTGCTCCAAACACACTTTGATCTCCTCTTTGTTAAAGCCCCGGATCTCAGTCATCCGGTCCACCAGGCCCCCTGGGATCTGGCCAGCAGTGCTGGGACGGGAGGTGACCCAGACAGAAACTTCTGGGAAGAGGTTTCCTCGGATGATGTTGGTGATCAGGTGGTCCACTGGTATGTCCTTCTTGGGGTCAGTGCAGGCCAAGGTGTTGGAGAAGTCGAGAGGAGTCTTACACTCATCCAGGCCATCCAGGATAAGGAGGACTTTGGCCAGAGCTGCCCCTTCCAGGCCAGAATCCCCGACATGTGGAAAGAAGGAGCGGATGAGTCTGTCTGCAGATAGCTTTTCGTGGGTGTTGAGATCCCGGAATGTCAAAGGCAGCACTAACGAGAAGTCCTTGCCAACCTGTCCCTGGGCCCAGAGGCAGACAAAGTCCCTCACCAGGGTGGTCTTGCCCACACCAGCCACCCCAATGGTGATGGAGATGCGGGGTCGGATGGACACCCGAGACAGAGGCAGGAAGAGCCTGTTCAGGGCGATGGTCCTGGCAGAGCGCCAGCTCCCACGTGTGGCCTCCACCTGGGTGAAGTCATGTTCCCTCAGCTGCAAGTCCATCAGGCCCTCCACCAACAGGAGGTCGGTCAGCCTGGGTGAGTGGCCACCCAGCTCCAGGCTGCCTCCTGCCCTGCTCAGAAGGGCTTCTCGGTGTCTCCGTATCCTTGAGTCTGCAGGATGGAGGTCAGAGGGGAGGGCTGGATAGGGTGGGTGAAAGGAAGGGAAGGGGAGGACTGGAAGGGCAGGTGAAAGGAAGGGGAAAGAGGTAGAATTGGGAGGGGGCGAAGGCTGGGAGAGGGTCTGGGGATACCCCTCCATCTGCTTACCATTGCATTGAGGCCCCTGTGTGTGGTCGGGTGTCCTCTCAGGGGTCTGTGGGGCCTGGGAGCCCTGAGAGCCCTTCCCGGCCAGCAGGTCGACAAGGGCTTTCACCTGCTCAGCCGGGGAGCCAGCACCGAGGCCCTGGCCAGCTTCCCCACCCATCTGCACCTCCTGCTTCCTCATGGAGTCCAGGATTGTTGCCAGGAGCTGTGAAGAAAGGGCCTGAACCTGCTGCCTGCTGTCTTGCTGCCCAGTGGCCTGGGACAAGTAAGGAGCCTTTTCATGTGTGGGGACTTACCCTTTGGGGACCCACCCTTTCTCCTCCCCTAGCTAGTGGCCCACCGTCTGGCCTCCAGAAAGGAGTTGGAAGGGCTGTTTGTTTGTGGATGCTGACAATAGTTTCTGGTACCAGGGACTATTGCTCAGAGGCAGGGGACCAAATTGGTAAGAACCCATGTCCAAGCTCGAATCTGAGCTCTGCCACTTACTGGTTGTGTGACACTGGGCAGGCCGCCTGAGCTCTCTGTGCCGTTGTGTCCTCATTTGTAACCTGGAAATGGCAATGCAAGTTAATGAACAGGTCCACTCACGAGAAGGGAAGAATGAAAGAAGCCAACCTGGAAAGGCTACATACTGTATGATTTCAACTCTATGTCATTCTGCAAAGGCAAAACTGTGGAGATAGTAAAAAGAGCAGTGGTTGCCAAGGGTTGGGGTGATGAGAAGAGAGGGATGAATTGGAAGAGCACAGAGGATTTTTAGGGTAGTGCAGCTACATTCTGTGGAATACTAGTGGTGGGTTCATGTCACTACACATTTGTCCTGGGGCATAGAATGTACAACACCAAGAGTGAACCCTAATGCAAACTATGGGCTCAGGGGGATAATGATGTGTCACTGTAGGTTCATCAGTTGTAACAAATGTGCCACTCTAGTGGGGATGTCCGTGGTGGGGGAGGGTGCACACGGAGGGCAGGGGATATGTGCAAATCTCTGTACTCATTTTTTTTTACTTTTCTCTCCATTTTTCTGGAAACCTAAAGCCGTAGTAATTAAAGTCTAGTGATTAAAAAACAAACAAAGAATGGGCCTGGCCAGGTAACTTAGTTGATTAGAATGTCGTCCTGATATGCCATGTCATGGGTTCAATCCCTGGTCAGGACACATACAAGAATCAAGCAATGAATGCAAAAGTAAGTGAAAGAACAAATTTCTCTCTCTCAGAAGAAGAGATTTCTATTTATTGATTCTTCTTCTACATAGAAACAAAGAAAGAATGGAGAAGTCGAGAGAGGGGGGGAAGTCGGTTCTCAGAGCAGTTGTATAGCTACTTTTCTGACTGTTTTCCTGGGGTCTCCTGAAGGAGCAGGGGCTCCTGACCGCAGGCAGCGCTGTTTTCTGCAGGGGACGGTGATGCAGAAGCACTAAGAGGCAAGGCCATGTCTGAGTCCTGCCTGCTCACGTTACTTTTCCTCTCTGGGGATATGAGTGGATCCTGTTGCCAAGGCCAGCCACACCCCTGTGTATCCCGCCTCCCCATGTGTCCCCCCCTCAGCTAAGGTAGACACTTGAGGACTCTGAACCTGCCACCCCCCCCTTCTCACCTGCAGTGGGCAGGGTGTCTGGCCCAAGGTCCTCCTACCAAAGCTCCTCCAGCAGGGCCTTAGGAACTCAAGGGTTGGGGGTTGGCCACCCCTCCTCCAGGGGTCTAGAAGAGAAAACTGGACTTAGGGCTGGGCAGAAGTCAAACCTACTGCTTTGGGTGCAGCAGCTCTTTGAACTGGGTTTAGCCAGGCCTTCCAGCCCTGTGTGCTCTGGGTCTCAATGTTATTCACTTAAAAGTGGAGGTTTGCTGGCTATAGCCCAAGGATTCAACATACTATCAACTTTGGGTTTGCATTGGGGTTCCTGGATTTTAACTTGGGATGAGCCTTTTTACCTGGGAAATGCTAGAAGAAGTTCAGTAACAAGTAAAATAGCATTTCCCAGCCATTTAATTCATAGTGGCGTTGGGGAGTTGAGTATAACAGATTTGAGGTAGATGAACTAATCTGGGAACAATAAAAGTAGTCCAGGGCAAGTCCACTCCTGTTTCTTCAGAATTCTTCTGGCTGTTCTCACTCTTTTATTCTTCTAAATGTCAAAACTAAGGGTAAAAAAAGACACATGGGGTTTTGGTAGAAGTGGTTTCAATGTGGGTATTATTGAATACCCACATTGTCTTTCTTTAGATCCTTTAGTAAAACTATATTTTTTAATCTAAAGCTTACCAACTTTTTTATTTGTGTCTAGGTATTTTTAAATAGCTTGTGTTGTTTTTCTGATTTTTTTGGTACCAAAATAGACAATTTTTGTATATTGTATCCCATTAACATGTTAAGTATTCATATTAGTTATCATTTTTCAGTTAATTCTTTTCAGCCTTTTGCATTCTGCACTACTAAAAATTGAATCTCTTTTTTAAAATTATAACTCTTCTTTTGAACAATTTTTCTGCATTGGCCAGAGCACTGCTTCCCCACAAGCTGAACGGCAGCAGTTGAGCAGGCGTCCTTGTCTCGTTCCTCACTCCACCGGGAGTGGTTCCGCCAAACTGTTAGGTCTGATGTTAGTGACAGACTTCTAACTAGTTCTCCTCTCTTCTTGGAAAAAATCCCTTAAATTTCTATTTCCTGTTACTATTCAAATAACATCATATAATACTATTGAAGGCTTACTCTGTTCCAGTCACTCCGTTAAGCACTGTATTTATATTATTTCATTTACTTCTTCTAACAACTCTTATTACCATTATTTCTCCCATTTTTAATAGGTGAAGGCACTAGGTTTAGAGAGGTTAGGTAACTTGCATAAGGATCCACAACTGGGAAGCAGTGAAGGAGCAGTTCCAGCCTCTGGGAATAGGAAGATGAACAAGTTAGACAAAGCCATTACCCTGTAAGTGTGGTGGGGATGGAGGAAATGACAATAAAGAAGAAAATAAGTGAATAAGCAGGGCAATTCTGATGGTGATTAGTGAATGAAATAAACCATGTGAGTGATGCAGGGGAAATGGGGATGTTGGAGGAAGGGGATGCTTTAGTCACAGTGGCCAGGGAAGGCCTCTGTGAGAAAACTACATGTAGGTGGAGGTCTAGAGGGTGAGAAAGAGTTAATCATGCAAAGAGGCAGGGGAACAGCAAGTGCTAGAGGAACAGAAAAAAAACTGAGTCACGGGGCACGGTGAATAAGCAAGTGGGCTCACAAAAAGGGTTACTAGACAATGTCAGAGTGGGGTTGAGACCTGGTCACTATTGTAAGGAGTTTTAGATTTATTTACTTTTCATGTGATGGGAAGCCACTGGCGGGCGTGACATAATTGATACATATCAGATCTTTCCTTTAATCTGTGAGCTGTACTAATAGATATTCTAACAATGAACCAACCTTGCACTGCTGAAGACAAGCTTCCATTTATATTAAGCTATATAAGATAGGAGGGACTAGAACATAAGTCAATAGAACATAGTATAGAGTCGAGGAACAAATATATATTTGTATTGTTTACCTATGAAGAAGTTTGATAATGTGACAAGAACAGCATTTCAAATCAGTGGAAATGCTGTTATGGCAGTTATTTAGCTTATGAAAAACTTTTTTTGAGCTTTACGGCACATTGAACACAAAATTTAATTTTAATTTGTATTATAAATACAATACCATAAAAGCACACTAAGAAAATAGGTGAGAGTATTTGAAAATACTATTTGTGTAAGAATCCTCACCTGAGGATATGTTCCTTGATTTTAGAGAGAGGGGAAGAGAGTGGAGAGAGAGATGAGAGAAACATTGATCAGTTGCCACCCATATGTGCTCTGACTGGCGATTGAACCTACACCTGTTTGGTGTACAGAATGATGCTGCACCCAGCCAGAGCAGGAAGGCTTTTTTTTAAGCAAGACAAAAAATCTAGGAGCCATAAAAGGAAGACTAAGAGATTTGCCTTAGTTTAATATTTTAAATAATAATAAATGTCCCAAATAAGACTGACAAAAACCTCAAGCCAGGAGTCAACATTTGCTAATGTTGTAACATACATAAAAGAGCATTAATATCCTTAATATATAGGGAGCTTTTATAAATCAATAAGAATGAAATGAGTACATATAGAATTAGAGACATAAATAATTACAGAAACAGTAGAAATAGAAAAAAGGAAACAGATAATTCAAAGAAGCATAAATAACTAAGATATTGAAAATATTCTCAATTTCATTAAAGATAAAAACAATGAACTATCATTTTTCTTTTGCTAATTGGCAAAGATTATAATGACATAACAGGCTGCATTCATAAGAATGTGGTAGTAGTAGGAATCTTCGTATATAGTAGGTGGGAGGTTAAATTAGTACAGTTATGGATCATACTTTGTCATTGTCTATTGCCATTAAATATCCTCTGATCCAAAAGTCCCAATTCTGTGAATTATCCTAGAGAAATCACTGGATCCCTGACTGAGTAGTTCAGTTGGTTGGAGTGGCATCTTGATACACCAAGGTTGCAAGTTCAATCCCCAGTTGGGGTGCATACAAAAATCAACCAATGAATACATAAACAAGTGGAAGGACAAACTGATGTTTCCCTCTCACTCTCTTTCCCTCCAAAATCAATTATAAAAAAAAGAAATGATTAGTCAAGTGCACAAAGATGTGGCTACAAAGATGATCCTAAAACATTGTTTATAGCTATCAAGTTCCCCTTTAGCACTAATTTCACTGTGTCCCATAAATTTGGGATGTTGTGTTTTCATTTCCATTCATCTCTGAGTATTCCCTAATTTCCATCATGATTTCTTCTTTAATTAATTAATTATTTATTTTAAAGTATGTTGTTCAACTTCCACAATTTCGTAAATTTCCTGGTTTTCCTTTTGTTATTGATTTCTACTTAATCACATTGGAGAAGGCCCTTGGGACAATATACATCTTTAATAATTTGTTAAGACAATTTGTGCCCTAATATATGTTCTATCCTGGAAAATTGAGAAGAATGTGTGTTCTGTTGGTCGGCAGAGTGATCTACATGTGTCTGTTAGGTCTAGTTGATTTATTGCATTGTCTTCTACAGAATCTGGCACAAATAACACCCCCTTTTTATTACAAACTCTTTTATTACACAATTATAAGCATGTAATTCTGTAACATAACAGTATCACACTCAAGCACATCATATGACATTTTAGGTGAAATGTTCAAATTAAAACTATAAATTATTGCACTCGTATTATTACCCTATCAGCTGCACTCAGGCAGGTGTTTTTTCTGCCACACTCTGTATTTCCTTGTGTCTTTTATCTGGCTGTTCTATCCATTATTGTGAGTGGAGTATTGAAGTCCCCAGCTATTACTGCAGAACTGTCTATTTCTCCCCTCAGTTATGTCAATTTTTGCTTCATACATTTTGATGGTCTGTCATAATGTACACAATGTTTGTAATTATTATATCTTCTTGCTTTTTGAATCTTTTATTAATATATAATGTTTTTCTTTGTCTCTTATAAACTTTTTGATTTAAAGTATATTTTGTCTAATGTCAGAATAGCCACACCCCTGATCTCTTTGGGTTCCCCTTTTCATGGAATATCTTTTCCCATCCTTTCACTTTCAACCATTTGTGTCTTTGGGTCTCAAGGGAGCCTCTTGTATACCCATATAGTTGGATCACATGTTTTTACTCATTGTGCCAATTTCTGAGACTGGAGAGTTTAATCCACTTACATTTAAAGTAACTACTGATAAGGAGGAACTTATTTCTGTTATTGTAGTACTTGTTTTCTCTAGGTTTTATAGCTTCCCCCCCTCATTTCTTGCACCAAAATAAAAGTATTTTAGTTGATCTTTTGTAGTGAAATATTTTAATTTCTTTTTCATTTCCTCTTCTGGTTACCATGAGATTACATTTATCATCCTAAAGTTATAACACTCTAATCTGAATTTATATCAACTTAACTTCAATAACATTCAAAACTTCGCTCCTTTACACCCTTGCCCCAATACTATTTGGTTGTTGATGTCACTGTATTACATCTTTATACATTGTGTGCCCCAAAACATAAACTAATAATTTTTTAAATGTATCAGACTCTTAAATGTTGTAGAAAACAAAATTTTATACAGCCAAAATTACAGTAATATAGTACTAGTTTGCATACTAATAATTGAAGTTATTTTCTTTAAATGTCATAATCTCAAATAGTATAGAAAACAAATAGTGCAGAAAAACATTGTTACAATAATACTAGTGTTTATAGTTGTCCATGTTTTGAGATCTTTATTTCTTCATATGGCTGTGAGTTACTACTGTCTATTGTCTTTTTATTTCACCCTGCAGAATTTCCATGAGTATTCCCTATGGGGCAGGCCTAGTGGTTGTGAATTCCTTCCACTTTTGCTTATCTGAGAATGTCTTAATTTCTACCTTACTTTTAAAGGACATTTTTACTGAATATAGGAGTCTTAGTTGGCATAATTTTTTTCTTTGAATGCTTTAAACATATCAGCCTACTATTTTTCTGGCCTCCAAAGTGTTTGCTGGTAATTTTATTGAGGATCCCTTGTGAGTGGACAATTTGCTTTTATCTTGCTAATTTCAATATTCTCTCTTTGTCTTTGTCTTTTGAAAGTTTGATTAAAATTTGTCTCAGTGTGGGTCTCTGAGTTAATCTTACAT